GAAAACATCTGATTTTTAGATAAAATCATATTTTTATACAACGAAAGTATATTTGTAGTTTTTAACCATAAAAACCACAAAAAGTTCAGGGTACACTTATGAAGAATAAGAAAACAAAGCTAGTTAGAGGCAGATAGTAAGTAGGTAGGTAAGGAATGTTTACGTATTTTTGTTATACCTATTCTTATCATAAGCAAATGAAACCCAGAAGTATTAATGTAATAATGGGTACCTAGGTTATAAAATATTATCTTATTCTTATGCGTATTTCAGCCGCGACAAAATATTTGTTTCTTAGAAAATATTCCGCCACCATCATGTCACGGAGTATTGGAAGGTTGTCAGATTGACCTTTTGAAACCCTTTTTCCATCATTATATACAAAACACCAGAGCGCACGAGGGCAAACAACTCACCCGCGAAAAATTACTACAAACATTGATTTATATATTAAACTCAATGACTACAAACGTATGATCGGCGCGCTGGAACGGTATGGCGGCGCGGCCGCATGGAATCGATGACGTCACGCGCTACTCGCGGGCACGGGCGAGATTTTGAAAATGTACGTAAACTTTCCACGCTTATAACTTCGGTAATAGTGCACCGATCGATGTGAAATAAAAACTAGAATTATGTGTTTGGTCTAGACATTTTACCTACGTACTTAAAAGTTTAATATTGTTACCTTGTTATCTTCTCCATTATGAAAAACTTATTTATTCACGTGTTCCTATGACATATTATAAGTATTTATCCCAGATATAAATCATCTACGTTCAATAGTGTTTGAGAATTCAAATAAAAATCTTTGACAAACAGACATAAAGACACAGACACCGGGGTGACTAGGTCCATGAAGTTGGCACCCGGAAATAATTATTAAAAATGCGACTAGTATAAATCGATTGCGCGTAAAAAATGATGTTTATCGGTACTAATTATTTGTTTGCGCGTCAAATATTTGTTTAGATATTAAAAGAATAGGGCGGGTGCTGTGAAATAATACATTTTTATTTTTTGCTTAGAAATGACGGTAAAAGAAGAATTAAACAATGTAAATTTGTAGATTTTCACATGCGCAATCGGCACCCGATATCAGTTTATCCATAAGTATTGTGCTAATTTACATTGTAAATAATTAATTAAATAAATAATCCCATAACCTCAGCCGCAGCATCCGAGCTCGAGAGTGCGCAATATCCCTAGTACGCTAGAGCTTAAAGCGCTTTTATCTTTAGTTAGCAGCAACAGCTTCCTAAAGAGCTTTGCCAAACACCTATTATTATTTATGACTTTAGTCTAAAATCTTTTTAGTTTCCATAAAAAGTTATAGTTATAGATTGAAACCTCTTTTATTTTATTTTCAATATAATAAAATTCGGTTGGGCCGATTAACCGGACTTTGGCCTTTTTGTATCTCAATTTGCCACTGGTTAAAAATAACAAATAAATCAAATATTTTACTAAAAAGCCTTCAATACTTTTTCAAATTGAGTATTTCTTTTTAACAAATTATTAGATGATTATAGAATCTTTATTTAATAACATTACAGGAAAAATCAATTTATTGTAATTTTAAGTACAGAAAAATAACAGTTTGATTTAATTTTTAATACAAAAATAATAATAATTTAGTTTTAAGTACAGAAACAAGTATGTTCTATTTTTCTTTTTTAACTATCTTTATTCAAGAATTGAGTTTTTTTTTGTTATGCAAAGGGCCTTTTTTTTTAAGTTTATTAATAATAATATTATTATTAATATTTTATTTTGTTGTGTCACTACTCTGCATTACGATTAGAAAAAAGTTAAAAAGTAGAATTAAAATAGTAAGTACTTAGGTTTTGTTTAGTTTTAAATAGCTACCTGAGATTCTTTTATTTACCAAAGTTCCATGTCCAGAATAATTAGCATTATAACATTTGAGACTGATTTTTCAATAAAAGTTACGTATGAACCTACTTATTATATTATTTATTTGATTTATCTACATATAAATCTGACGTGAGTTTACGCATGGGAGAGAAACTATACTTTTCTTAAATTTAAAGCTTTTATCATATCAATGTAGCCGCAGTTACCACGCACAAAATCACGAAAAACCTTTACTGAAATTAATAATACAAAAAGCCGATTAATTGGCCTTTTAAGCCGATTAATCGCCGACTAATCGGTGACTACAAATAGGCCGATTAATCGGCTTCACCGATTAGTCGGCGGCTAATTGGCACAACTCTACTGGTAATACATATAATAACAAAACTTTAAAAAACTTGCAACGTAAATCAAATCTTAATCAATCATCAAATTTAAATGAATGCTACACATATATAATATTGTTTATTTCACAGAAATCTAAATAATAAGGCAATAGAAGACGTAAAAGCGCGTGACCTTGTCGCCACACATGTGACTCGTAGGGTCGTAGGCCACAAGCGCGCAAGATGCGTTTTTTCAGTCACCAGTGTTATTTCGGACGCAGAGACGTAAAAATGGAGTTTTAAAGCATATCCAACTGCGGAAATTCTTCCACAACTTGCAAGTTTTCAAATAAGGAGATAACATTTCATAAATAAAAACTTAGTGTTTTAAATAATGTTGTTTTTAATGTAATATACCTTAATAAAATTATGCACCTCCAGTACTACGATTGTCTCCGAAAATGTAATTGTTTTCACATTTCAATATCTACTGATTCTTAAGCTATTTCATGTCTGCGAGTACGACAGCTAAAAGCAGCGATGGATTTATAGTATGGGCAAGAAACAATGTTGTTGCGTACGTAAATTTCCAAGAACACGGCCGCAGGAGTCGAGCGCGAGACAATGGCGTGACACTACTACTTTGTATCGATAATTTATTATGTTTGCATTACTTAGTTTAACAGAAATAGGAATGAAATGTGAGTTTTCGTTAAATATTTATTTACGCCTCCTCTATTTTTGTTTTTCTTTCTTAATATTTTATACCGTTAACCTTTTATCAGCGATTATCTGTTTGTTATTACTTTTAAATTACTTGATGCAATTTTTAATATATTGCAAGGATAAGTAATTATATTGTAAGGGTTTTAGACCAAATTCGATCTGTAAGAAGCCGGGTAACTGAAAAATACCAAACAATAGAAAGTCAGTTACAGATCTTTAAAATGATAAATATGTAATTTATATATATTATATTTATTTGTTTGCTGTTTGTATAATGTTGTATTAATTTTATTTATACATCTGTTTATTTAATACAATGCTATTATTCGAGGTTCCCAAAAGATCCGGATACTAAAGATAAATGGATATACTTATCCTTAACGTTTTATTATATCCTCTTTTCTCTAGTTATAAAGCGTAACGAGACATAATAAAGAAGAAAAGCAAAAAAATTGAAACGTGCGTTGCGCTGCACTATGCCCAAGTGAGAGTGAGCACGTAATATCATTCTCTGTTTTACGCACACGTTAATTATTAAACCAAGTGGCTACGCTTTCTGAGATATTGCGTTTTTATAAAATATTCCTTAACGCAATAATTTATAGTTTAATCTTTGTTGCATGAATGCTAGAGATATGTGTAGGCGAAATTGTGTATTTATTCTTTGTCTATGTGTGTTAGCTGCAAACAAGCGACACGCGTCCCGATATTAGAAGACAGTAGAAGGCATTTCTAGTATCTTATTATTTAGATTTCTGTGGTTTATTTCGTTACTATAAACTTCAACAAATAATATTTACACACAGTATATTTTTGATAGATAAAGTAATTTCATAGTACAGATAAGGTTGGACACCGAGATCTACGGGTTAGATTAAAAATGACAATGACAAGTGACGACTTTATTTTATCGGTAAGTAACGTATATTGTACGTGTTAGAACTATTTTCTGAGATGTAAATGCTGTTAGCCTATGTGGCTCTTACAACTTAATCTGACTCAGGGCTTGCGGCCCTGCAGGCCTAACACAACTAACAACTTATTATTAATAAATAACAAAACTAATAACTATTATAGCAACCCTACAGTTATATTAGTTACAGCGTGAATGGGTCGGCTCACCCGAGGCAGAACTACGCTCTATAGCGGCTTAAGGCTCTAAGGCGGTGTTTCGTATGGTGAGTATTGAGAACCGGAGAACCTTTTTACTGGAAACGAGGCATTTGATATTAGTCCTTAGGGGTGACAACGCATTGGCACGTTGATTATTAATCGAGGATAAATGAAATGTCTATGAACTGCAAGACCCACTACCCACTAACCATCGGGAGGACTGTGTGCTTATTTGTCACCCTTATTTTCAAAAAAAAAAACTTAAGTAACGACAACTTTGGATAAGTTCATAAATATTTATTTGTTGCGTTCAAATTATCAACCAAGTACGACCGTTTGTTTTTGCGTCCGACAATGGCAAAAAAATAAAAAGTAAGCTACCGCAGCCAGTATAAGAACTTTATGGCTAGTTCTTGAATCAGTCTGATTTAAGCAGTGTTTGGATCGATTCATCGTGTAGCTACTATGTTCCAAATCAATCTGAAAAATCAATTTTTTTACTCGAAATAATTGTTCGATTAAAACGATTTAAAATTGACATACCTACAAAGTAGACTTAGGAACTATATTCTAAGTCTATGGTTATTTCAAAGATCAAAAATCTATGGATATATGTCAATGTTGGCAGATGATGTCGGTTGTCGTTTGTCGTCCACTCGTTTATTAAAATTCTACTCTATGGTTGTCGTGTTGTGGATGGACTTGAAGTTTGTTTTGTCTTCAAAATTTGGACTAATTTTTGTAAATTTTCTGTGACCATGAAATAAGTTATTAATTAAAAATCGTAAAACTAATTCAATATAAAAAGTAATGTAGTGATGGGGACTGGTTGGGCTAAATTTTAAAAATGAGATGAGTGTTTTTCGATTGACGATCACTGATTGTCACACGCGATTCCAGTCTTCAAGTGGAAAAGTAGGATTTTTGCTGTAGAATCGTTATATGTACGCAGCGGGAATGACAATAATGGCAGTTTCTGTTGGCGAAATTTGCGAGAATACGAAGCTGGCACGAGAAATGGCTCTGATGGGGAATTACGAATCTGCACTGGTGTACTATGAAGGAACGGTCCAGATGATCCACAGACTTCTGATTACTATTGCAGATCCTACACGCAAATCTAAGTGGCAATTGGTAAGTTATATACATATTTGTATAAATGGTTTTTACTCGATTGCCTTGAACATTGATGTTGTTTCCTTATTCAACAAAATATGTATGTAATTAACATCACCGTAGAAGGCGGAAGGCCACATGAACTCAAATACTGATAGATATGTTCATATTGAATTTTATGGTCATTAATAATCAATCAATCAAATTTTATTTGCTTAATATATAACACAACACACAGTTGCATTTAAAACATAAACCACTTCATTTACAATCTGCAATAAATTTGTTAACTTATCAAAGATCTTATCTTATGATAACACTTCTTATTAACTTATCTTAAGATTAAATTATTTGCAATCACTGCAATTTCAATATTAGACCACAATAAAAACGCCCAAGTTTTCAAAGATCTATATCATATTTTTGTTTGTATGACAAGTAACATTTTAAACATACAAATATGATACTTTTACATGATAAAATATTGTAAATGTAGAGATCTGGCATCCAGAAATACAGGCGTAAAGTGTAGCTTAGGCACCAGTCTCCCACAATACAACATAGAGGCGTAATACTTTAACATTATGTACCACACTTATGTAATATTGTGTTTAGAAAATAAATTATTATTATTGTTATATCTTCATATCTGGTACCTTATATTAATTTATATTGATACCCACAGGGATAAATACTTATTAAGCCTATGTATAATAATGCTGAAATATACCTACTAAGTTTGAAGGTTGTTTTGGTTGTAATTTATTTTTTTTAGATGCACAACCAAATCCATAAAAACATAATTTTGGCTATCATCATAACTATTACAGCACATTGCTAGTCTACTGCTGAAAATAGGCTAAGGAATTCCATAAAGTATGGTTTATTGACTTCACATCCCTTGCCATTTCATTACTTTACTATTTTAGGAACTACTACTCTACTATTTTAGAAATAATTGCTTTTGATAAGCATAAATATTGTATAGTGGTGACATGCGAGAAGCCATCATCTCAATGTCCTATTGTCATCCACATCCTATGGACTGACTATAAGAGGCTGTTCCATTGGTCTCTTCCATTGATGTCATGAAAAATTCCAAATAGTACTCTTTGCTTATATTGTGATAAAACAATAAGTAATTATTTATGGTAGTGAATTATGCCAGATGTAATATTACCAGGCTGGTAACAGGGAGCAAGGTCAAAGGTCGTAGTTGCCTGCTACTGTGAGGGTTAATCTACTTGCTATAATAGAAAAGCCCTGCATCGCACATTGGACTTTAACAGTGTGATAAAGAAAGGGAAGGAAAAGAATTGTAAATATGTGGTAGAGCCAGTTGGCTCGACCGTGGTATAACCATGCCTTCACATAATACCAAATAAAATAGCAGCTTGAGGCTGCTGTGTTTCATATGGTGAGTGTAGAGTACAGCAGACCCTTTTTACTGGAAACAAGGAATTCCATCTTAGTTCTTAGGGATTCCAACAAATCTGCATTTTGATTCTTAATGAAGAATAAATGTAGTTGTCTATGGGCCACAGCATCCACTTACCATCAGGTGGACTGTTTGCTTGTTTGTCACCCTTATTCTATAAAAAATGTGTCAATATTTATGGCTTGTTTGTCATCTTTTATGTCTATGTGATGGGGTGTGTGATTTCAATTTATACATTCACAATTGAAATATTTATAAATGTATGCATCTAATGGTAATAAATTTCTTAAATCTTCCATATCGAATCAGAAGATTTTTATAAGTTAACTACTTAAACCGGAAGACATTGTGTAAAAAAAAAAGATGACATGTCAGTATCACTAATAAATATTTGATTGGTAGACTTTGTATTTTATGTACATTGTAATGCTGTGCATATAATTATGCTAACTAAAATTCTTAGTATAAAGTAAAAAGCTCAAAATTGTTATAAATAGAAAAAATCACTATTTTATCTGCAAGTTTAAAATTAAGAGTGTAAGAAAAATTTTTAATGGTAGAGCCATACTGCACCTGTATTTTGATTCATTGATAATAGGCCTTTTATTTTAAACATAACATAAACACTCACACCTGTCACCCAGAGGGGTATAAAATTTGGTACTAACAAAGTAGGTATCTAGTTCTCAATTAATCAGAAATTGTTCTACTTAAATAATAAAATGCAGGTATTTATAACTTCTATTTTCTAGTTTAAAACTTAGCACATGACTTGCCTTTTTAAAAATTTGATGCACGTTTTAACCACAGCTCCTTATCAAAAAATAATTTTGTTAAGGAACTGTGGTTTAGTAATATTAAAAAAACAAATGTGGGTAATCCCTAGTAGTCATATATTATAGAAAATCCATTTGATTGATATAGAAATTGGGTATAATGACCCTAGATAATACTATATTTTTATACTTGTGATTGTTGTCACATAGTGAAATTATTTATGTGATTTCGATTGACACATGTATTTATCTCAATAACATTTATTTTATTTTTTAAACTTTCATCACCCTCGAGTCATGGTAGCTCATGAGCTTAGCGCTCTTTGTAAATTTTACAGTATTTAAGCCACGCGGGTTCAATCCCCACCAGCATGAGTGCAATTGTAAATTGCAATTTTAAGTGCTAATTTACCCAGTGCTTGGCAGTAAAGGAAAGCATTGTGAGAAAACTTTCATGTCTGAGTAATAAAACAAAATATTTCTAAGATATGTGATGTCCACTAACACACATTGGGGCAGCGCGGCGGACACTTCCTTTCCCTAAAAACTCAGAAGTGAGAGGAGGTCTGTGGCCAGAAGTGGGACGTATATAGCCTATTACTTTACTTTACATCAGCTTTTTTTATATTCATAATTATCACCTTCCATTGGCCTCGTTATCAGAATCTGTGTAGTTTTGTTTTTTGTTCATAAAGCTTTTAATTTAAATAAGCCGAAATTTGAAGAAAAGGTGTTACTTTTGACTACTACTCTCTTTTTTCCATTAATTTAACATGGATACAGATTACAGATACTGTTTGCTAATTGGATGATTGGCTGTCTTATCTTTATTTATATATTCTCATGAAGGTAAGACTGTCAATTATACTGTTTTAACTGAATAAGACTTTTCTGTTATAATACTTTATTTTACTTTTTTCAAAGAATACTCTTCCGAAGGTTCCCTATTGGGAGATTATTCAGATAATTTGAAATCTATATATACTTGAATTTATGAGTATAAACACTCATGCCCGTCATGCAGTAGGGTAGGTAGAGGCTACAGATTTCCATTTTGTGTAACCCTGACCTATCTTGTGTCCTGGTATGGCTGATGCATACATGCTCCTCGGGTAAAGATACTCTTAATTTGGTCCATTCTCAATACATCGCCAGTTTTGTCAGTAAAATGAAATTTATTTTAGAACAATTACAATTATGATAACATAAATATGATTTTCTCATAATTACTAATAATACTGTGTTGTACAATATTGCTTGTCTTTGTTGATCTCAATTATTATTCAGTTATAGGAGTATATTATGTTGAAGGATTTATTTTAAAATATATTTTTTAACTTTATTAAATAGACCAATTTGAAAGGAAAAGTACATTAAGGTTTTATTGCTAAAAATAATTCTTGTTTAATGCAATCACATACAAATGAATATAGTGGGCTAAACCTGTTTCATATTAATGTTGTGTTGTAATAAACCAAATGCCTTTTAAATAACTATGCGTCGGACTTTTATGCAAAATATCGATATAATTCACTTACTACTTCTATTCCTATAGGTACATGGAATGTATGGAATTATTAAGTTTTTCACCCTGAACTATTTTCAAAATGCTCCTTCCCTTCCTATGGGCTTCCCGAGAAATTGTGCAATTGGATCACCAGCTTTCTTGCAGATCGGAGCATCAAGGTTGTTGTAGACAGTGCAAGCTCCGATTACAAGCCTATTAATGCTGGTGTTCCACAAGGCTACGTACTTTCACCAACGCTATTTTTTCTGCATATCAATGATATGTTGCAAACCGGTGACATTAATTGCTATGCGGATTACAGCAGTGGTGATGCTCTGTACACCGGCCGGGCCAATATTTATCGGGAAAACGTCTCCGAATACCAGGACAAACTTGTGTCTGAAGTCGAGTCTTTGCTGAACAAAGTCTCGGATTGTGGGTGACTAAATCTAGTCCAGTTTAACCATCAGAAGACACAAGTTTGCGCGTTAAGCGCTTTAGCGCTTCTTTTTAAAGAACCCCTTTGTCGTATCTCCTCAGTTTTAAGGCACTTCCCTTGTTGCCTCAGCCAGTATCGGAATCCTCGGCGTCGACATATCGAGTGACGTGCAGTTTCGTGATCACTTGGAAGAGAAGGCCAAATTAGCTTCTAAAAAGATTGACGTGCTCAGCAGAGCGGGACAGTATTTCATGCCGGCACGCCGCCTGCAACTTTACAAGGCGTAGGTTTGGCCGCACATGGAATACTGTTCCTATCTCTGGGCTGGAGCTCCATAGTGCCAGCTTCTTCCACTTGACCACATCCAGCACAGAGCGGCTCGAATCGTCGACGACCGAGTGCTTTCCGATCGGCTCGATTCACTGGCGCTGCGGAAAGGTTTTGTTGCATCACTTTGCGTATTTTATTGCATCTATCACGGGGAGTGCCCTGAGGAATTGTTCGGATTAATCCCAGCCGCCAAATTTCATGAACGCACTTCCCGACCATCCATACCATCTGGATGCTTGGCGGTCCACCACTGTACGTTTCACTAGGAGTTTTCTTCCGCGTACGACCTCTGTGTGGAATAGTTTACCACCGGCGATTTTTCCGGACCGATACGACCTAGGGACCTTAAAGAAAAGAGCTTACTCCTTTCTAAAGGGCCGGCAACGCACCTGCAAATCCCCTGGTGTTGCAGTTGTTCATGGGCGAAGGTAGTCTTTAGACTTAACATCAGGTGAACTGTATGCTCGTTTTCCCCATTTACTATAAAATAAAAAATATACAAAATTTCATTTCCGTTTACTAATTTCA